ATATATATATATATATATATATATATATATATATATATACCGGGTGTAACAGCAAAATTGTCCATTTGTTAAATTAAGATTTGAACCTTTGTACCTTAGAATTGATTAAATATATTTCACTTGAATTCTCCGAGGTTTTTATAACACTATTGAACTATACTTTTAGGATCAGTTTTGATATTTTATATTATTAGGATTCACATGGATCATATACCAACGGATTTTATCTATATATATATATATATATATATATACATAAGAAATATAGTCTTAAGGTGTGCTATATTTATGGGATAAAGGGCTCAATATCAGAGATAGAGCGTGTGTAAATCTAAAAGTGAACATTGAAGTCAACACTTAGAAGCGACAGTCTGTTTCATGTTAGATGCAATCATCAGGCCACCTAATATATATATATATATATATATATATATATATATATATTCAATCTGCTTGTCTGAATCATCTTCAAGAAGCGAGAGCAAAATCTAAAAGGTCAGCCAATCTAACAGTGATCTCATCTCACAATTCTCACTCCTGATCCATATGTGGCCTCCTTTGTAAATCACTAGCGGGTCTTAAATGCCACTTAAGATTATCGCATAAACTTTCGTAACTGAATCAATAAGCTGGCAGATCCTCATACGTCGAAACCGACAGGAGAGTCCATTATATATATATATATATATATATATATATATATATATATATATATTTAAAGACGACCGTCAAATTTTAAGCAGTTATATGAACAACTTGAGAACTAATTGTTCCTACAAATCCTGCAATTTGCGTAGTTGTTAAAAAATCTAACTTGCTTATATAGCTGGTGGGGTGTGGGGGAGGTTCATATTTTTCCGATGAGTATTTGTGTGAAATTGAACGCAATACTCTAACTTAGAACTTGAACTCTGCTCGCTGATTCTAATGCCTGCGCTTGATGTCAGTTACACCACACGTACATGCTTCATGTTGCATAGCCTTTAAATTAACGCCGATATATCCACAAGGATGATTGAATTAACGTGAATGAATTTGACGATCAATCAGTGGGATTTCTTCTGAGTAAAAATTTAAATTTAAATTTTAAAAAATGTTTTGAATTTTCTCTTTCTTAGTTTAACGTAAGGACGTTGAAAGTAATCAACACTGGTTGTTACATGATGGCCTCCTCCCTATCGTCATCTATCCCCTTGTATATGTAAATTAGATTCTTTTTCGGTCAAGAGTCTATAACCAGTAAACGGTAAGCCAATGAAAAACGTCTTGAGTAGATTTAAATTTATGCATAAACAAAGGCGTCAATAATTTCGTCAGGTGTGAATACAATAACACAAAATATACACTCATTTACATATGCAAATCAAAATGATTTTGTAGAAGAGGTGGTGAACAAAGTTTTTTGTGGATTTTAACAGTTTCCCATGTCTCACCGGATATTTCACGCATCACTTGGAATCACTCAACCAGAAAAAAAAAGACATTTTCTTATACATTTTTAAAAATAATTTCATCCCAAACGGTTAAGTGGTATCATGCCTCCCCTGAATCTACGATACCGCCATCACTGCTATAACAAAATTTTCATAAGTTAGTACTCATATAAAATACAAATTTCATTGTAACCTAATTATGTAGAATAATGAGCCATACGCAGTATAGGTGAGCAATTCAACTGGTAAAAAATTGAAAATAAATACAATCTATCTGAATACAAATTTTAGGGACATGTCATAATATTATTTTAATATAATAATATTTTTCTTATATGTTTATTATAATAATATTTTTAATAAATCAACAAGGTTTCGAGGCAATTTCTAACATCAACTTGAGATTTTTCTTGTTAAAAAGTTGTATAATTTAACACATTTAACATTATGGATGAAAAAAAAAATAGTGAATTTTATATAGCGTTTTTCGAGACTCAGAATATGCAAAACAAATTCATGGTTTTGGACGTAAAAAATAGTAAGTAAAAAGCAAATATTCATAAGACAGCGAGGTCCACAAAACACTGCTCCAGGGTCCACAATCAGGTTTGGCTCCCCACTCGGTTCCAGAGAAGTACGCACTGAATATATATATATATATATATATATATATATATATATATATATATATATATAAGGTACTGAATTATTAAAAAGAACTAAAAATACATTCAGTGGAAATACGAAAACTTTGCTAACTTGTGAAAAGTTTTTGGTGAGTCGAGAGAAATGAAATGGGTGTCAGGATAAGAGACATAAAAAAGGAGATAATTAATATTGCCGGCAAGGTTACACTTTATACAAATGTGACAAGAACATTTGTTCGAGTTTCAATTAGCTGATCCGTTTTGTCTGTCTGTCGCCTTTGCGAATATGGCTTCCGTATTTTGAGGTCAGCGGCTATGATATATTTACAGGTAAACTCTAATGTCTCTCTTCAACTTACGTGTACGTAGAGAGTGGAGAAAAATTTTGTCTAGATCTGTCTATCACAGTTTGTTCCTTATCTATCTATCTATCTATCTATCTGCGTTGCGCTGCGAAAATTGCAGGTATCGTCAGGTGATTCTTCTGCTGTCGGCATCAGACAAAATTGATGCATGTTGTGCTTTCGTCATTTACTGTACAGTGAAAGTAAAATAATTATTTCTATTGGTGCAATAATACTTATTCGAGAGTGAGTGAGAAAGTAAATGAAAAATAGATGATAAAAAGAACAGGGGTGGCGGAGAAAAGAGTGTCAGAAGAAAGTGTCAGATATACTGAGTAAGAAATAGCGAGATATAAATAATTGATGAGAAGAGAAAATCGAGAGACAGATAAATCAAATAAGTAGTTAAAATAGATAGATAGATAGATAGATAGATAGATAGATAGATAGATAGATAATGGACGAGATGAGATAGATAGATAGATAGATAGATAGATAGATAATGGACGAGATGAGATAGATAGATAGATAGATAGATAGATAGATAGATAATGGACGAGATGAGATAGATAGATAGATAGATAGATAGATAGATAGATAGATAGATAATGGACGAGATGAGATAGATAGATAGATATAGATAGATAGATAGATGGGATAATAATGAATAGATAATGGACGAGATGAGATAGATAGATGAATAGATAGATGGATAGATAGATAGATAGATAATGGACGAGATGAGATAGATAGATAGATAGATAGATGAATAGATGAATGAATGAATAGATAATGGACGAGATGGATAGATGATGAATAGATAGATGAATGAATAGATAGATAGATAGATAGATGATAGATGAATAAAAAGACAGGTGAGCAAGCTAGCTAGCTAGCTGGACAGATAGGTAATGGACAGACTGAGATAGATAGATAGATAGATAGATAGATAGATAGATAGATAGATAGATAGATAGATAGACGGGCCGAGATAGATAGATAGATAGATAGATAGATAGATAGATAGATAGATAGATGGCCAAGAGAAAGATAGATAATGGACGGACTGATATATATATATATATATATATATATATATATATATATATATATATATATAGATAGATAGATAGATAGATAGATAGATAGATAGATGCATAATGGACGGGATGAAATAGATAGATAATGGACGAGATGAGAAAGATAGATAGATAAATGGATGGATAATAGACGGGATGAGATAGATAGATAGATAGATAGATAGATAGATAGATAGATAGATAGAACAAAAGAATTAAAGAAAAACCGATGATGACGGGAGACACGAAGAAAGAGATAAAAACGAGGAAGTGATAATTAGAAAGAGAAAACGATAAATTGAAAGTAAAAGGAAAAACGAAACAGATAGATATGAGAAAAATGGGAGAGAGATTTATTGATAGATGCGGAGAATTAGCAACTTAGAAAGGAAGAAAAAGCAGAAAAGCCTTGAATAGAAAGGAAGAAAGGAAATCAAAATTGACTGTTATATACATATTTGGCTGTCACAGATGAAATGACGCAGTTTATAGGAAATGAATAAAACGCTTTTGAAATGTTAAATAACTAATTTATTGAAGTAGTCACCATGTTGATGAATGACTGTAACGTAACTCTAAGTTCTTGATATCATCTCTAAAAAAATTATCATCCTTTGATGTGATAAACATTTCATATACTTCGATTATCTCTTCTTTATTAGAGAATGCATTATTGCGTATGAAAAGCTCAAAATGGTTAAACAATTGATAATCAGCAGGAGAGATATCAGGTGAATATGGAAGATGAAGCAAAATTTCATAATTTATCCTATGCAGTTTTTACACAGTTGATCAAGAAACGTGCGACCGTGCGTTGTTATGTAGCAAAAGTGGGCCATTCTTATTCACAACTCTTGATTTTTCGTGCATATACTCAATTTCCCCACAATACGAGGTTGCTGTTATTGTTTTCCCATGAGGCAAGAATAAATAATGAATAACCCCTTTGAAAGACCACCATACAGTAACCATTAACTTCTTAGAGCGCAGTGGAGGTTTTGGGTATTGTTTTGGTATTCACTTGCCTAATCTCTTACTGTTGTCAAAGAGTCCCCATTTCTTATCGGATGTAATGATCCGATGAACAAAATGGTATTTTTTTCCATTCGGGAAAGCAACAGAGAGCACACCTCAAAGATTGACGCTTTTTGTGTGATTCATTCAATTCATGCGGAACAAACCTATCCAGTTTCTTTACTTCTATAATTGCTCTCAAGTGCTGAGAAACAGTTGTGTGAGATGCTTTGAGTTCTGATGCAAGTTTTCGGACTGTAATTCTCGGATTTTGATCAACGAAAGCATTCAATTGATCATGTCTGGTAATCAATCGTGGTTTTCCTCTTGGTTTATTGTCAAGACTATAATTTCTCGTACAAAACTTCGGAAACAATCTCTGTACAGTTCTGATTTCAACAATATCATTACCAAAGGCCGCCTTGATATTCTGAAATGCTTCAGAGGCAGAATAATCCAATTTGTACGCATGCAGTAAGATTA